TGGGTAAGAGTCAAGCCTGATGATTCTCATCTCCTGGTACCATGTTTAGGATTAGAAATTTTGTGTGAGTGTGTGTGTGTGTGTGTGTGTGTGTGTGTGTAGTCTTCAGCATATGGTTCAATAAATGACCGTTTTTATTATACAGTAAATGCCAGGTGACATGATACCCCTGCCTTCTCCCTATCCACTCCTCCAACCCCACCCCATCCACAGCCACTTCTATAACATTAGATATTCATTACGCAGCCCGGATTCTTCCCTCATCACCCAGGAAGCAATCCTTAAGACATAACACTGACAACCTGGTAAATAACTCCAGATGACTAGAAGCCCAATATCGCTTAACGGCCTAGAAACTGAGCTCCCAGCTTTCATTTTCCTAATAGAGTGACCAGACTATGAGCAGCCTGGCAGATGGAGGTAAACAGGAGAGACACAGACACTGCCTGGCTCAGCCAGGCCAAGGGGGAAGGCTGGGAACAGACAATCCTTCTCAACCCCAGCCCCAGCCTTCCCCCAGAACTCATTTTTGTCTCCTACAGACAAGAGAATCTGGGGACAGGCAAGTAATTCAATTCAATCAGCACTTACTGAGTACCAACTATCTGTCAGGCACTGGGATACAAAGATAAGTGGGCACCTAAGGTACAGCCCTCACCTTCTTCTCCCTGTTGTCACCCATGGTTTAGGGCCACCTTTGACTCTCACCCTCCCTTCTCACTTGCCCATCTGTTCCAGGTACTATAATTTTATAACTTATTCTTAAGACTAACGTGTAATAATGACTTCAACTAATTTGGAATTCTCCAGGTGGCCCGACAAGTGTTTAGAAATCGCCTGAGTTTTTCCCAATGCAAGGGAGATCCCAAGTTCCTTAAGAATGTGTTAAAAGAATGGCAAACTCCACTGTCTTTTAGCCGGCCTGAAAACACATTAACGTCCGTGTTTCTCAGTCCTAGCATTTCCCTCTGCATTCAACCACACAATACTACTTACACTGAATTAATGAATGGATGAACAAACAAGTCGATTAACGAAGAAATCAGCTGGAATGCTGATCCATTCTGTACGCATCAAACCACGCTGTGCTGACCGTTAAAGTGATATGCCTTCTTTACCACAGAGCAGGGAGTCTCATTCCAAGCCCACAGCGAGGAGTCTCAGGATGGACACATGGGGCTCCTGTCCCCTTCAACCCAGGTATGAAGCCCCACCTTTGAGAGTGAACATTTGCCTGATTATGCCCCTCCCTGAGCTCATCCTACACTGCCTCATGGGGACCAAAGAAACCTGCAGCCACAGAGCCTTAGAACCCGTAGCGATTGTGAAGTAACTGACAGTATAGGAAAAAGAGAGTCAAAGAAGGAACTTGGAGCCAGCAGCCGTGGGTTCAAGTCCTGGATCTAGCGCCTCTTAGCAATGCATGTGCCCTCTCTGATTCTTAGTTTCTTCGTCTGTAAAATGAGAATAACAAGGTCTTTTCTATGGCACTGAGAACAAGATGAAGCAATGTACATAGATGTGCTTTCCAAACTACGCATACCCTCAACTTATAGGCCGAAGAATACTAAAGTTTCAGAGGTCAGAGGTGGCAAGCAGAATACGGTGGTCTAGGCCCCTCAACTAGTCATCGCTTAGCAAGGTCACTGACAGCAGGTCTTACACTGAGCCAGCTGGCTGACACCTCAGCACCCACTTCCCTCCTGTCAGCACGGAGTGCTGAGAAGTTGTGCAGCCTCAGCCCTGAGGCACTGTGTCATGCTCGGGCACCTGTCATTCCTCCTATGCACAGGGGAAAATGGGAGGTGACACCTGGAGATGAGGTGGGAAGGAAGAGCTGTCGGCAGGGACTGCTGTGGGTGCAGGTGTCAGGACGACAAAGGAGGATAATGGGTGGCCTGGAGAGGAGGCTGCACAGGGCAGGGGTCAAAACACCAGCCCCGGATGAAAGGGCACCATTCTAACTCCTGCATCTGCCATTAAGGGGCAGGTGATCTTGGGTGAGTAACTTACCCTCTTCCAGTGCCAGATGACTCATCTCTAAAGTCTGCTTTGCCTGCCTCCCTGGTTGGTTTCCCATGTCATTGACTCTACAACCATAACAATTGTTTAAGATGTCCCATCATTTTATGTAGCACTAAGAAAGAAAAACATGCTGTCAATTAAGCTATAGCATGTCATTATTGTAAGATACAGGCTGATTTCAGCGAAGTTCCAGCATGAAAAATGTGCCTCTTAGAGCCACACAATGTGGTAGATGAGAGTACCATGTGACTGTAAGACTAAATACGATCATCCATTCCTGTGGGATAGAACCGCAACCCTCAGAGAGGATCTCGAGAGGGCCAAGTTCTTTGCCTGGAGCATATTCACCCATGAGTCAAGGACAGAGACAGGCAATGGTCCACGCTGGGAAGACGGTAAGCAGCAGGTCTGGAGGAGGAACAGGAGCAAAGTCTGGTGAGTTCAGGCGGAAATCGGGGCCTGCTAAGGCAATCCACAAAGCCAGGGACATCTGAAGAGCCATGAAGAAGGGAGGATGTGAGGGATGGGAAACAGAGCACAAACAGGACAACTGACTCAGCCAAGCTCAGCACCTGCACGGATTCTTGAGCATCCCCTGGACATTCAGGCAAGGACCCGGGGGCCCTTCTTGGCTGTGTGGAACCTACGGGTCCCTATTAATCGGCTTCTTCAGCAACATGTGGCAACCCTTATTTGCAGAGAGATTACCATCTGCTGTAAGTCTTCTCTCATGCAGTCACGGTCCAGTTTCTCCACCTCCTCACACCCATCATAGTTCCCAGACCCCAGAACAGAACAGCTGGATTCTTCTCCGGAATTACTTCTTCAGCCTTGTAAAATGCCTCGTAAAATGTGACACCCTAAAGACGTACGTTGGAGCGTCTTTAATAATTATTTATTACAGCAAAACACGGAAAGAATCCAAGTGTCAAGTAACTGCAAAAATGAGAAGCAAGATGTGTACATCTGTTTAACAAACTGATCAGTCATTACAGATTTTTGCCAGAATATGCAACGCCATGTTATATGCTTATACTATTTTGAGAAAAAAGCAGCAAAATTACAAGCATTTAAAGAGAGCTTGCTTAGCACTGAAGGCCTGGAAAAGATACCCCAAAATAATCAGGAATTTTTCTTCATTGGTGAATTATTTTTTCTTCTTTTGACTTTTCTGTATTTTCCATATATCTTTAGTGAACATATAATCACTTAAAATAAAAATAAATGAACTAGACAAAAAATTTCCAAGGGACTCTGCCACATATAGAACTGAGCAGGACCAAGAATTCATGTAAACTTAACAGATATACATTGCAATAGTTTTTTTTTTTTTTTTTTTTTTTTTTTTTTTTTTTTTTTTGCTATTCTGTAGTGACTTACCCAAAACTTTTCTTCTAGATATAATCAAAACATTTCTAAATGACTCAGATTCTCATATAGGCCTCTTCTAATCAGCACATATTATTTTATTTTAAGGACATTGAAAACATCACCCAATGTACTTCTGGAACACTATGTAGAAACTATACTTCATATACTAAAGCATATTTAAAATGTAGTAGTAGAATTTTCTTTTAGAAAAGAAAAAAACTTCCCGAAAATCCTTCTGTAAGGCAACAGATATTTTTAAACATGAATAGTCATCCCTGTCTATTTATCCATTTCCCAGATTGAGGGGCTGGCTGCTAACGGGCTTCCATTTAAATATTCCAGGCCGTTACATCTTCAGTGTTTTCTCTTTCACTCAATCCCAACGGCTTAAAGGTTAAAAATAAGAGTATTCTGTCTATTCCGCAAGACAGAAAATAGACGCAATCATTCTCAAGCCCTTAGCCTTCCTTCTAAGACTTCACCTACCTTCGCGCCTCCTCTCACTCCTCCCTGGAAAACAATTCCTCTCTTCTCCTCTCTCCATTTGGTTAATCACAGTAGTAGCTAATATTTCCCCTTTCCTGCCACTCGAAGTCACTCTCTTCTTTTCTTCATGGGTTTGAACTCTGTCTGCCAAGCAGCTGGGTAAGGGCATTTCCAGAACGCATCACTTGCTGCCCCATCCACACAGGACCACTCCCCAGTCCTCAGCCCTGCAGGCCCCGAGAGCCACCTGACACAAAGACCAACAGGAAGCCACAAGAGCCTGGGAAGGCCTGCCCATCACACCATTCCCAAGGCCAACACAATTGCTACCAAAGACACTGGGTCAAGACAACAACCTCATACTATATTCATTTCCAAAAGAATGATTTATCCAATATTTAACTAAATGTACTGCCATCGTATATGCTGCTGTGGCACTGGGTCGGCCCCAATGTCATATTACTGTATTAATTTCCGCAGAATGATTTATCCAACATTTTAATATGATTCGATTTTATACTATTAATAAATCTGCAAATCATAAAAAATTCTGTTGTCAGAACACAAATCTCAGTTATTGGTTCAGAAAATATGGCTGTGGTCTTCTCCAACCCCCTCTCCCCAAAGAAAGTGAATTTGACTGCATCTTTTGGCCCGTCTTGGGGGTGCCTCCCAGGTGGGGGTAAGCTGCTTGCTTCGGTGAAAAGGCTCACTGGGAAATGTCACCCTCCCCAGGGAAATGGGCGGTCAGCCACTGAGCCAAGCACAGAACAGAAAACCAGAAGTAGCAGCTGCCATGAGAGTCCCATGGCCTCTGCCTAACACCACACCCACCTCCACACAGTGCTCACCCTCCTCTTGATGTGGCTGACCCATGGTCCAGCACCCTGGGGAATCTTAGCCTTGAACTTTTCCTTCTGTCTTCTGCCCCCTACTGTAATACTGCTGCCTTTTCACCCCAGGTTCCTTGCCCCTGGCCACCTCATGACACTAACCCTCTTCACACACACATGAAGCTCCCAAGTCTCACACACACACACACACACACACACACACACACACACACACACACGAGAGAGAGAGAGAGAGAGAGAGAGAGAGAGAGAAAATGGACTTACCCACTGAGGACCACAATGAAGTCCATGACATTCCAGCCATTGCGGAGGTACGAGCCCTTATGGAAGATGAACCCCAGGGCCACAATCTTGATCCCAGCTTCAAAGCAAAATATCCCAATGAAATAAGGTTCTGTCTTCTCCTGTGGAGATGAGGAGCAGAGGCACCAGTGAGAAGAGGACTGTGCTTTATGAGACACAGACAAAGGCATAGCCCAGCCCCCCCTGGATGTCTGTGCTGGGCCTGCTCACGTGTGGGCGGGGAGCAAGGCTGCTAAGGACAGAGGGGCTGCAGGCTCTGTGACTCAGGAGGACACAGGGCAAGGGAGCCCCAGGGAAGCTAGCTGCAGACATGGACGACGTGGGGGTCACGCCCCGGAGCTAGACTTCCTTCCCAGGAAGGTCCCTGACGGCCCTGGCTTTGCCCTGAAGGAGTTTGCCGCTCTTCACATAAGTTAGACACTTGAGGGTCGTCATCGCATGTACACACATGGATTTCAGGCAATCTGTCTGCTCTTTTTAGGGGGAATACGTTAGACGTGTGACTCATTTCTTTAAGGAGAATAAGGACGTAAGCATTGGAAAGTTCATAACCACAAATACGCACAAGAACTGAGCATCCTTCACCCTCTCCCCTCTACTCCGCCACCCCTTCCTCTTGCGTCAAAAGTCCCTTAGGAAAGACGAGGGAAGAAGACGGGCCTGAGCCTGCCCTTTCTTCTTCACTGGCTGCCACGCAGCACAGACACAAGTGTTTGTAATCTCTTCTCTTCCTTGTGAAAATCCCCATGGGGTCTGTCACTAACTTGTCCCCCAGCAAAGAGCAAATCCCTCCCAGAACTCAGAGGCAGGAAGGGAAGGGGAGAGTGATACAGCAGAGAAGAAACCACAGAAGACAAAGAAAAGCGGAAAGAGGAGAAGGAAAGGAAGCACATACCAGCCTTCGGGACATGGGGGTCTTGTCGTCCTCAGGAAGATGCTGCTCCAGAGCCAGGACTATGCAGTTGGCGATGATGGTGGCCAGAATCATGTACTCAAACGGCGTGGGGAAGTGGAGTTAAGGAACAAATTCACCAAACGAGAGAGACGCAGCCTCCAAGATGGCCGTGCCCATAAGCACACAAGCTCTACCAACCCGCATTGTGCCTGTGCAGTCTGCATGGTTTATATTTGTAAACAGGCAAATATAGGCCCTAACAGGCAGGACAGCGAATGGCCCGTAGCATGTGAAACCACAAACATTTGTGCCTGGTCTCTGAACACAGAGCATCTTCTCCAAAAAAAGAAGGTATGTAGCCAACACATAATATAGTTGGGCATATGGCGGACACTTCAGTTATTGAGTGAAATAAATAACAAATCCAATAAACAGAGCTGACAATGGAAGCGGGAAGAGGGGAGGAAGGAACGTAATTAATGCCACAGCAAACCCCTGTTTTCCCCAGCCTTCCAGCTGCTGGACTGGGTAACGATGCTTGTGCACGGATGCAGCTGCTGCAATTCCTTGCTGTCTCTGGGCTCACAACTGGAGTGCCCGCTTCTAGAACCTCTGCTCCACTGAGTAACAGAAGATCCCCTGGAAAAGAAACAATTCTCTCCATGTGAGCTTCCTTCTATTTTAAAATTCCATTCAGCAATGTACTTCTGGCGGCCAGGAGAGGCTTGCTCTGTCTCACCTTATTTTCTTCTAAGCATCTGCATCTATAGGAAAGAGACTGATCACGAGTCTAAATCCAGCACGGACAAGTCCAGTCCTCTGAGAACCACACTGCAATGAACGAATGCAGGCTTTTTTTCTGTTAGATGTTTTTGAAAATAGGTGAGGGGCTCCCTGCGCCCTTTCAAAAAACCGGACTATGACTCGGGTGCCAGCATCCTGATACTCCTGCAGGAAAGTTTTGCCATATGCTGGAGGGAGGTGGGAAGGACTGTCAGAAAAGGGAGAGGGTACGGTGGCTCACCCCTGTGATCCCAGCACTTTGGGAGGCCAATGCGGGCAGATCACAAGGTCAGGAGATTGAGACCATCCTGGCCAACATAGTGAAACCCTGTCTCTACTAAAAATATAAAAATTAGCTGGGTGTGGTGGTGCATGCCTGTAGTCCCAACTACTTGGGAGGCTGAGGCAGGGGAATCACTCAAACCCAGGAAGTGGAGGCTGCAGCGCGCCATGATCATGTCACTGTACTGCAGTCTGGAGACAGAGCGAAGACTCTGTCTCACAAAAAAAAAAAAAAAAAAAAAAAATACGGAAAGAGAGAGGGAATCACCAGCTCCCAGCGCTGTCATTCTCTGTGTTAGGATTTCATTCTATAATTACTATTACAACAAACACAAGTTTGCTGCCGCAACTGCTCTTGCTGAGCAACCTGTGCTCTAGAAGATTCTGGAATCCAGGCAGAAGAGGAACAGTAGATCTGGCAGAGTGGAGGGAAGAAAAGGGGCTGTCCCTGTTTCCCCACATACCCAGGCAGGCTGTGGAGGGTGCAGGGCCTGGAACCCTCTCATGGAGTACAAGAGAGCAAATCCCAGCTATCCCCACAATGCCCCCCATCCTCTCAGGCTATCTACGGCAGTAACACAACATTAAGTTAGCACCCAGGGCATCTCTGGGGAGGGCAGGGAAGAGGGCTTAGGGCAAGTATGCAATGGGATGTGAGCTGTTGACCAGTTGCTCTGGTCTTGGCGCCGGCATGGGGGCTACAGGGCTGAGATGCTGGCTGTGTGTGAACCCCGAGTCCTTCTCTTAATCCTCATTTAGCTGTGCCTTCTCCTCCCCCACCACCGTCCATCCCTGAGTCACACTGGAGAGTCACACTCACTGGCCAGCAGTTGACCACCATCCTTCCTTCCCACACATCTCTTAACACTCACACAGCACACAGATCCCAGAGACTGCTCCATGGGCCTCTGCTGCCCTGAGGCTCAGCCACTGGAACTAAAAATGGGCCCAGCCTCAGAGAACCTCAGAGCCTGTCCACTGCCTCCACACCCCACTGTGCCTACTTAAACCCTCCCATTCAGAGGGGAGCCTCCCCGCATGGAAAGTCCTGCAGCACCCATGGGCATTCCTCCTCCTTCAATCACTCTGGGTGCCAAGCCCTGAGAGCCAAACATGCCAGCAGACACACACCACAGATGCCCACCCAACTAGCAAGCCCATCTTCTCAGGACTGGCCCCCCAACACACGGCCGCCCATGCCCAGGCCACCCATGCCCACTGATTGCAGGGAAGAGCTCCTCACCTCCCATCATGGCTGTAACCCAGACCTCTGAACAAATGCAGAGCGACCAGAAACCACCCCAGGACCCAGTGTCTCATAAGCCTTCTGAGCAGTCTAGGTGGCCCTGGGCCTGGCACAGGCACCTAGATTCCCAGACTCATCCTGCAAATTAAAGATGGAAACTTGGCCACAATGGTGGCCAAGGAATCCATACCCTTTCCTGAAAACATGCTTGGGGGATGGGTCCAGAAAGGGAACTGACGACATGTATACAAGTCATTGACGAAAAACAATAGAAACTGAGAGTGTTGAGAGCAGTGTTCCTAAAATGCAGGCCATGAAATACTAGTGCTATAGGAACTTGCCATCAAACCAGTGAGGGGAGGTCTGGGTTGGATGAAGTTCAGCAGGTTTCTCCTCAGCAGGACTTCTTGAAGCCTTTAGTACTTTTGCATAAAGTGTACACACACCCCATCACACCCCATCACACACACACACACGCACACACACACGCACACACACACACGGGGTTGTAGACAGCCCACAGCATTTCCCAAACTTGCTTCACCTTGCAACTCTTGTTTTCAGAGCATCTCTCTTGAACAGTGTTCCCAGGAACATACCTGGGCAGCCTGACACAAAGGGTGGGTCTCTCTGCCAGTCCCCAAGAGTTGGAGGAGGAGGGCTGGTGGCTCTGACTGGGGTGAAACCAGGGCCTCTTCCATGTTGTCCCCTGTCCTTGTTCCTAACAAAAGTATTCACAATAGTGTGGGGCTCACCTGGTCACTCCCCACGGCTGGAAATGGCACATGCAATTTCAGACACCTGCTTAGCAGATCCAAGCCCAGCACCTGTCCTGGGAGGTAGGACTGGGCAAGAGTCCTTTCTCATTCAAGCTGCAGACCTCTCGCCTTCTCATGGGTCTATGTGGGGTCTATGGTTGTTTTGGGAGGGTTGAATCTTCTTCCCCTGAAAACCTGAAAGTGATAGGCACAGGCTTAAAAGTAGATGGGTTCTTGGTGCTAAGTTTGCAAGTAAGACAGGTCCTGGCAGCCATGTGCCTCCGAGGCCCCCCAACTCACAATATCCGCTGGGACCACGGCAGCTCCTCCACTGCTGACTCCCTGCTCCCACGTCCATGCCTGCCTCTTCCTGGCCAACTAATCCAAGTATATTGCTCCCTGGAAGGACCTTTAAGCTCAACTAGCCCAGAATGTCCAAGTACAGATATGTGAGGTTTGTGTGGACACAGAGTAGCTCAGGAAGGTGTGGCCGTCACCACTGCAGGATGCTCCGGGTCGGGGAATGGCTCTTGGGCCAGGTGCTGATGAGTCAAACTCCCCGTGACTGCCCAGGTATCTGGGTGGCTGAAAATTCATGAGGTCTTGCTGCTACCCAAGGCCCTAAGGCTAGAATCTAAAGTTAGGAGTTTGGTAATTCACAGGTTCTGAGCAGACCCTATTCTCACTTCCTCTCCAGTCAAATCCTCTGCCCAATATCTGATGTGGAACCCATTCAGAGCAGCCATCTTCTGGCTTAAAAAAAATTTTTTTTTTTTTTTGCTTAATATTTTTTAAACCGTTTAGATGTATATACCCTTGAGAGAGATGTCCCTTTCGGCCTTATAGAGCATCTAGACCTCAGAATGAATTCATGGCTGCGGGAAGGAAGAAGCTGCCGTGACAACGTGGAGACTCCGCACGTCGGTGGGGTAGGTGAAAGAATGCGTTGTGGCAGGGAAGTCTCAGGCGAGGTGAGCGGAAGAGACTATGCAGCTCTGCCTGGGCCCCAGCCACCCTCCCTCACATCCCTGTTCTTTAACCTCTTTTCCTCTTCCCTGTCTGGAGAAGCACAAAGATCAGGCATTTCCATCTGGGTGCTTCTGCCGCCACCTGCCATGGCCTTTATCTTTCCGGTCATACATCAAGATCCAGCTGAAATGTCACCTTGTTAGTGAAAGTTTCTCCCCGTGCCCCACAGCTCTTTGAATTGTGGGACTGGATTATTTCTTCTCCTACTTAAATCCCCAAGAAACTGTATCTTGAAAGCAGGAGTTTTGCTCGTCTCTCTACTGGCAATGCTTAGCAGAGCTCCAGGTACACAGTAGGAGCTTCGTCAATGTTCGCTGCAGATAGGAATTCATAGGAGGCATTCACTGAGGAGCCATTATAAAGACAGGGCTTTGCTTACCCACTCTGGCCCAGGCCAGGGTTCCCGCTCACTCCCACCCTTGCAGGCTGCCTCAGAGGCGCCACTGCCATTGCTTCCCAACAGCAAAACTTCACACCCAAAAGCCATGGCTCTGCTCTATCCGCAAAGGGAAGAGAGCCTAGATGGCAAATCACAGCCACCCACCGGTCAAGCTAATGCACCTCCACCTAGCAGACTGGACAAAGACATGACTTGGAAAGGTCAAAGGAAGCTCCCAGTTGCCACGGCCTCAAAGACCATCATCACCCTTCATGGCAACCACAAGCAGGGACACGACAGAAGCCGCCGGGCGCGGTGGCTCAAGCCTGTAATCCCAGCACTTTGGGAGGCCGAGGCGGGTGGATCACGAGGTCGAGAGATCGAGACCAACCTGGTCAACATGGTGAAACCCCGTCTCTACTAAAAATACAAAAAATTAGCTGGGCATGGTGGCGCGTGCCTGTAATCCCAGCTACTTAGGAGGCTGAGGCAGGAGAATTGCCTGAGCCCAGGAGGCGGAGGTTGCGGGTGAGCCGAGATCGCGCCATTGCACTCCAGCCTGGGTAACGAGAGCGAAACTCCGTCTCAAAAAAAAAAAAAAAAAAAAAAAAAAAGAAGTCTATCCAGGA